CATTGGAGTAAAACTAGCAAAAGTTATTTAAAAGTGATGTGAGATGCTCAGATCCACATAAAGTAAAATAAGATTGCTTGAGAATTTCTTATAAAACCCTTGCATTGTAGATGGTCTAACATGAAAGGAAAATTAGCATTAGATGGTAATTTATCTATGCTTTTGAATTGTAAGTTATTATATAGAGCAATACTTGTTTTGAGTTCTACCATACATGTTTTTATTGACATAGTTGATCAATACTAGTAATGATTTAAACAAAAACTGTATTTTTTTTATTATCACATTTCTTTTTTTTTTTTAAATTGGGATCATCATAATTATGAATTAATGAGAAAGGTTCAACATTCTCTTTATCAATAATTTGCATCTATTTTATAGACTTTTGTTCACATATTCATGATGTATTGTGTCTTAAATTTGAAAAAATTTATTTGGCCCCATATTTGTATCTTATCATATCTGTGTAACTAGGCTTCATAGAAGTTAAGTCCCGATTTCCCCTGCTAACATCGGAAAAACCGATGTAAAAATTCCCCATTTAAAATAATTGGTCAGAGAGTAAAAACTGTAGTTTCCTCATACAGGGACTAAAGCTTAAAATGATGGCAATCATAGGGACCATAACAGGACATATTATCATATAGTTTGACCTTTATAACTTACGCTACTTGCTGCTTGTAAATTCGGATACCAATTCCCTGCCCTGGTAGCATGATCGTAAAAGGAAACATGAGATTGTGAGATAGTTCTTTTTGTGTTTCCAGTGTGTTGTGCTGTTTTCTTTTTATTTTGCAAATAAAAAATCACTTTTAGCATTATGCTGAAGCAGTGGCCATTGGGTTAAAAGTTTAATGATTTATCATATTTGAAAATCCTTGATGAATGTGTTCATTATGAGTCTTGCTTGACTGATAATGAGATGATCTTTTACAATTATTATGCAGGATGGGTGCATAGTTTGCCCATCAACTGATAGCACATTTGATCTGCGAACAGGAGATATCAAAGAATGGTATCCAAAAAATCCTGTTCTGAGAGTTCTCACACCCGCTTTGAGGAAACTCTTTACCTATCCTGTGAAAACTGATGAACAAAATATCTACATCAGCCTGAGAGGTGGGAAAACCGATGCTTCTGCAGAAATTGTCTTTAGCGGGAAGGCTCAACCTGGTGTAACTGCAACTGATGTCAATGTTGAAGAGGTAACAGCTATAACAAACTGATAATTAATCTGGACCTATGCTATTACATTCCACAGCTGCCCTTTTGACTTATTGACAAGTTGTATGACATGGTTAGGTTAAAATGGTTGTTGATGAGGATCAAGAGGGATTTGGTTTTACTGGGAAGAATGAAATAATAAATGGGAGAGCAGCTGTTATTGGTTTCCTCCTGTTGTTGGATTTTGAACTTTTAACAGGTAAGGGTCTTTTAAAGGGAACAGGTTTCTTGGACTTCTTATACTCCGTCTCTAATGCTTTCAATTAGACATCATCTGTGTTATATCAGCTACGAAAATATTCATCTGACCCTCAGCAGGATAATATGTCCTGTTAGTGTTCGCATTTCCATTTTGTAAGTTCTGTATCTAGTATTGAGTTTAGATCTTGGTAAATGTACAACCTTTTGTTTTGTGTTTTGATGTTACTCTCTGTATACCATACACATTTTTAAAGGTCATAAATGACAGTGGCATTTCAAAATGTTGTCTTCTCCATGCATTTCTTCTATGGGGATCGTTGATCATCATCAAGTGTTTGTTTGGTTTGTGATAGAGATAGAATATAACTCAACCCAGTCATGTGTTTCGATCCAACTGTGTAAGCTTTAGGAACTTATGGTTTTTATTCACCAACAACTTTTTTCACTTTTAATTACAAAACGACTGTTATTTTTACTTCGTTTTCTCTTATAGAAGACTTGCATAGGAATGAGTTAAAATGTTGTTTTCAGTATTTTCTGTACAAATTTTCCAAATGGGAAAATACATAATTAGTTTCAACATTATTAGACGATTTCTAGTGGCATTTCTTGCTTTCTTTCATTACACAATCTAATTGTCTAACAAAGTGCTTCACCAAAGCATCTAGTACACATGATTTAGAACCACTCATCATTTTTATTAGGGATGAAAAAAAAGTTCATCAAGCCGCCAACCCGGCCAAAAAAGGCATGTTAGGGATTTAGTTTCCAACTCGAGAGCCTGAATCAATCCGGTTCGTCAAGTCTGACAGTCTAACTTTATTAAAAAAAAATTAAACATACGTAGTGACACTTCATATTAGCACAGTTCGAAAGTCTGATAGTCTGACCAAAGTCTGGTATAGTTTGGCCAAAATTTAAAACAATCCATAACTCAATATTAGCTTGTTTTCATGAAAAAAATAAAAAATTTCAAACCATTTCCATGTGCTATTAGATTTTTTATTATAGAAAAAAAAACATGTGGGTCAACCTGATAGTGGGCTAAATTGGGTTATAAAGTTCAGAGTGTTTCTCCTACGTCACCCTGTATTCCTTTCTACATCCCCACATCTTTTAGAAATTTTAAAACTATCTCCTACATTTCAAAAAATCCGACATCTCACTTTTTTTCTTCAACTGATTTTGAAATTCGTTGAAGAAAAATTTCTTCAACTTATTTCAAAATTTGTTTAAAGATTTTTTTTCAGTTTTCAACGAATTTTGAAATTTGTTGAAATTTATGAAAAATCTTTCAGTGGACTTCGAAATCTGTTAAAGAAAATTTTTTTCAACAGATTTTTTAAATTCGTTGAAGAATTTTTTTTTCAACTGATTTTGGAATCTGTTAGAAGGATTTTTCATAAACTTCAACAAATTTTGAAATTCGTTTAAGAGTATTTTTGGAACATGAAAGTGTAATGAGAAATGTGAAAAGGTGAAGGGAGAATCACTCCAAAATTCAACTTGCTTTTGATTTTCAACACACGAAAAAAAAACGTTTTTAGTAGTTCAATATCAGATCTGGATTAAACAGGTCGAGATTGACCGTTTTGTCATCCCTAATATTTTATTCAGTCGTTGTTAATTTTTTTATCAAACAAATGTACGACATGAGTTGGAAGAAAGGTGATATTTTTATGAAATATTTTCCCAGCCACGAGAGAAGAATTATTTTGTTGTCAAAATGGACACGAATTGTCGATTGGGGTTCATATAGTTGACATATCTAATCACAAAAGGATAAATTTACATTTTTTTGGCGTCCACTGAAACGCGTAATGTGCATTATAGATACTTGTTAGATGTGGTTCTCATTAGATATTGAAACCCAGGTTGAACTCTTCAACCATTATTCTCTTCACACAAAAAGTGACTCTCTTAACTAAATATATAGATTAAGGTTGACATTTTAAGATATTCTTTTACATATTTTTATTTAGTTGAAGACACGCAATGAACTCTGGTTGTATGTTGTTTTTAATACGATTTCTGGGTTGCTAATGAAACATCATTAATGGCATGATGTAAACAGAAAACAACAAATTTTCACTTTTCCATGCCCGCTTTGAATTCTCACTTGGGCTCTAAGCAAATTGCTCTACTTGCACAATCTAATTTTCTTTAACTTTTTGTCGTTCTCATAAAGACACCATCTATCACCATCATTTTCTTAACTCTCACAACTTTTATTTAATGAAGAAAGCGAATATGGTATTACCATCTCGTGAACCAAATGAAACATTTCTGTTCAAACTCTCCATCGGTTTTTGGAATATAGTTTGTGTACAAAATGACATAGCATGTGTGGGCATGTATAACTTGCATTTGGTATGAAAATTCTTCTTTTCCTTTCCACCATTGAATCAGAGTTATGTAAATCGTGTTTTTCTTTTTATAAAAGCACCAAATTGGTGTAGTTTTTCTTTTAAATTATTAAAATGAGTAGTATTAGCAATAAATGTACAATTATTTAAATATGAATTAAAAAAATGGTGTCTGTCAACACGATTTTTCTTAAGAAATTGTGATGATTATTGAGTGTATACACTCTTGTTGGAAGAAAAATTTAGCAAAGTCATACTTAAAAGAATTAAAGCATATTTTATGAATAATATAATTGATACTATCTGTACCTACAAATATCATTATTCACAGAAAATTAAAATTAAAATTTAATTTATATTTTATTAATTAAATTTAATTAAAGTTAAATTTTAATTTATATTTAATTTAATTTATATTATGTTTTTTTAATTTTATTTTAAAAATTTATAAAATATATTTTTTTAAATATTTATAAATACATACAAATATGCCTACATTTTAAAATGTTTATAGAATATGTTTTCAAGCAGACACTCAACATATAACATATAACATGACGAATAACAGATCAATTTTCTTCTATTGCAAATTGAATATTGGATAAATATGTCATACCCGTCGTCATCCTACTAATATAATAACAATAAGGTCACTATAAAATTAGACATTATTTTGTTCACATTGAACTTATCTCTGTTATTAAATATTATGAAGTCGGTACGTGCTTTTCTACATATAGTCATACATACCTTATGAAGAAGAGGTCTAAGGAAGGGTCCAACACGACAACACTCAACCACGCGCTAATCACCACGCGCTAATCACCACGCGCACACTTCTGGCTCCAAGTAGTTGTGTGTATTATCACTCCTCGGGATGCGCGTGGGCTTCCAAAGCAATAACTGAGCATCGTAAATCAAATTCACGTGCCACAATTTTCTCAACAAGTGGAAGATTCATTTAGAAAATACAAAAACATTGATGAGGAGTTTAGGAGTTCAAATAAAATATATTAACAAGTCAACACAAATTAATTTTTTATTAAATTACGAAAATTGTGACAAAATGATATTATAGATACTTTCATGATAGCTAAGAAAGTAAAGTTATCATTTTTCCATTGATAATATAGTGTATTTAATGGAAAAAAATATTATTAATAGTATGAGTTAAAAGAATTTTATTGGTATACAGGCAGAGGTGATGTTGTATGATTCCTTTGTCCCTCCAAGTTGGTTAGACTTTACTTAATTACATGCATTTGATCATATAGTTTTACTTTGACTTTGAAAATTTTGACTTTCGATCCTTCCACCGTCCTCTTACTATGTTGCCTCTTTCAATCTCTCTGACTCTTAAATTCTTCAACCCTATATAAACCACACTGTCCTCCATCTCTCTCTCACAGATTCAACAAACTCAGTACAGATACCATAATCTCGGTTACCCAAATGAGTAAAAGTTCAGCGCTGCATGCAATTTGTCCAAGCAGGGACCACAAGTTTAAGGGGGTTCGCCGTCGCAAATGGGGCAAGTGGGTGTCGGAGATTCGCGTTCCGGGCACCCAAGAGCGGCTCTGGCTGGGAACCTACGTCACGCCGGAGGCGGCGGCGGTTGCCCACGACGTCGCCGTATACTGTCTCAGGAGGCCTTCTTCGTTGGACAAACTTAACTTGCCAGACACCTTGTCTTCTTACAGTGGTCAGCTGAGGGACATGTCTCCAAGGTCTGTTCAGAAGGTGGCTTCCGATGTTGGCATGGATGTCGACGCCAGAAACATTGCTGCCGGCGGAAGTTCAAGTGGGGTGGCACAAAGTCAGGAGAGTGAGAAGAAAATGGAGGAAAGGAATGGCATTGTTGGAGCTGATGATTCTGATGAGTTCTGGTGGAATGGTTTTGAGGGCTATGATACTGCGACTTGGAAAGGAAGCGGTGAAGATTGTGCAGATAGGGATGCCTTGAACATTTCCATTGAAGACTATCTTTAGGTGGAGAAATCAAGCAGAAACTTTTTCCCTAGCCGTCATTGACGAAAGAGAAGTGATCAAGGTTTCATCTACAGTGATGTTTTTTGACTTTGATGTATATAGTCTAGATAGTTATCCTCACAAACTAAAGAAAAAAATGTAATTTCTCTTAGCATTTCCACGTGTAATTTGAGTTGTCTTTTTGAAGAAAAGAAAAAGGCCAAAAAAAGAAGGTCAACCACTCAAAAACAAAAATGAAATTGGTGAATCTGACACTTTCACACCACTTGCATTTGTGCAAATTGCTGTAACTCCTTGGAAAACGCACGCAGACTTGAGTGCGTTTACCTTTTCTTTTTACCACAGGCGCAATTCAGCATTGACGAAAATGTTTCTTCATGAAAATAATTCAACCCGTTTACTAGTAATTTTTCAACCTATAAATTATATAAATTAAACTAAACAGGTAGAAATCACGTTTTGTGTAAAAGTTAAAAATAATTGTACGAACTGATTATGAAAAAAAGAAAACTGGTTTTGTAAGTATTTTAAGGAGTGAAGACTTACCTTGATTAGTTGCCATTTTTGTCGAACAGCTGGTGGGCACAGAAAAGTAGCAACTGACTGCAGATAATAACTACGGAGCACGAGACAGAATCGCTACACGTCATGTATGCACAGCGAAATCAAATACTCCCACCAAAAGTCAACGTTCATAATATTTTGGAATTTTGAAATCAGCACACCGTCTGATAAGCGGAATAACCATACTGTAAATTCATCCATCACCTGCATGAGTAAAAGCTTTTGCAATTTAGGAACAGAAAAACAATAAAACACTAAAATTGATAGAGTTATATTTACATTTTGTAATCAAAATTCAAGTTCTTTTTATTAATTACTAACCTGAATATTAATTTTTACAGTAGTGAATTGAGTGCAAGTATTAATTTTATTTCTTTAACTTTATAATTTAAAAAAAATTATAATCTAAATTTAAAGTGGTAAATTATTGGTAATTAAAAATGAGAATCACCTAGCGAGGCAGAACTTACAAGGGACGAGACAGTTTCGAACTCCAATCTCATTGCTTTATCCATAACTTTTGGAAGTTTTTTTTTCCCCTCAGAACAGAGATAGAAATAAGCGTTTTGTTCTTGTGCAAAAGGTAGATGTGATGCAATAAAAATAATTCGTCTACCTTACTCTATTGTTGATAGAAAATGAATTTTAATAATCTTATTGGAAAATTCATCAGAAATCATACCATAACACAACAATCACTTAATCACACCAACAGATGAAAATATAAATAAAAGCAGAATATACATTTAATATGGTTTAGTACCTCAAAACCTATATCTACAACTATTTTTATAAATCGACTCAAACTTCTGACTGAGAAAAGAATTGTGGTTGGTTAATTGGACTTGTCGTAAGTATCTTATGTTAGTTGCAGCATTGCATAACGCTACATCAATCAATTAGGCAGATTTTATTTTAGGTTTAATTACTTGTCCCTGCATCGTTCAATTAGACAGATTTTATTTTAGGTTTAATTATTTGTTTGCCCCTACTTTTATGGTTGTATGTCAAATTGGTCTTCGTTTTTTAAAAAATATCAATTTCATCCACTGTTAATTTTTCATCTCCGTCACTTGCTGCTCGATTTCATCTTTCAACACGTGTGGGTATCGGTACGGACGGACATTGATCGGACCAGTGCCCTCTTTAAGGGTGATTTGGTGCACCGTCTCTCTGCTAGGTGGCAACCCCACTAACTCCACAACCAATTTGACGCCGAGGCGTCCGCGTCGTCTTTAAGTGGCTCTACTTCAGCGAAGCCTATTTTCAGTGGAGTTTCAATTTTTGTTGATGGTTTCACAGTTCCTTCCAGCCAGGTTATTTTGTTTTTCATTTATCATTTTGTTGATTCTGTGTATCTCTTCCCGATTCTTGAATGTGTGAATGGCTGGAAAGTATCACAATTGTATGAAGTTACCGTCTCTTGGCTTAGGGATCAATTGTGTCAAGAAATTGTAATTTTCAGTTAGATTTAATTGTAAAAATCCAAATGGACTACTTACCGTCAGTTACAAACGTGTTTCAGGAACTGCGGAGCTACATGCTCAAGAATGGTGGAAGATTCGAGAATTATTTCTCTAGACACCGTGTAACACATATTATATGCAGTAATCTGCCTGATAGTAAAGTTAAGAATCTCAGGTTTGGTTTCATGCCCTTCTTTAAATTTTAGGTTTTGAGTCCTCTTCTGAATTAATTTAATTTAATCATTGGATATTTCAATACAGAGCCTTCAGTGCAGGTTTGCCAGTAGTGAAACCCACTTGGATTTTAGATTCTGTTGCTGCTAATAGACTTTTGAGCTGTAAGTTTTTTAATTTCTCTTCCAGTTGTATTAGTTTCATTTTCTTACATCACATTTAATTTTTTGTATTATGAGAGGAAGAGAAGGACCATGGGAGCAATAACTTCTACATGTTTTAATATCTGATCCTGCCTTTTATTTAATTATTATTTAATTCTTTTTTTTCCTGGCTATATCAATACATGATAATATTATATCTGGTTTTCCAATCATGTGATTTAAAATTTTCTTTGATAGGGGTACCTTACCAGCTGGACCAACTAGCTAATAAGCAATCAAAGCTGTCAGCCTTCTTCACATTGAAAAGTAGTAAAAAGTCGGAGGATGCTTTAACAAATTCCCTACATCAAGTAGTATTAGATGTTGAAGATTCATCTATGAGGGTTGGTCAAACAGATTCTGAAGATAGAAACTTATCCAAAGTTGGTGAAATGAGTAAACATATTGGACAAATCAGTACCGCATTTGATGACATTGAGAATAGTAATGCAATTATGACGGAAGAGCCAACTAGTGTTAGAGTTAAGTTTGACGAAGAGCAAGCAGCCAGAAGCAATTGCTGATAGGAAAGATGAGAGCAATGTCAAAAGTGAACTTGGACCCACTCATCAAGCACCTTCTACATCATTTAGTTCTCACTGCTCAGATGAGCAGAATGCACGAGAATTCAAGTTCTTCAGGCACTAAGCCTTTTAAACAGTGTCATTCAACTTTTGCAGACCCTAATTTCGTGGAAAATTATTTTAAGGTAGTGAAGTTGAATATACAAGAATTTTGAATTTTCATATTGCTTGGTGCCTGAAATGGTGACTTTCTTGTTGATGGCCCACTTTATTTTCTTTTAATGTGGCTGTTATGGTAGCAATCTGATTTTTTTTTGTACTATTCTGCCAAATATACTGGAAATTAAACATTGAAGTCAATGATAATTGTTTCTTGCATTTAAACATATCATCACTTGAACTTCAATAGATAAGGTGGATGAAGTGAATACTCCTGTGCATTATATTTTGTGTTTGCTGGATCTGTAAAAAAGTAAACAAAGATAGAAAAACAAGCAACTGATCACATGGGACAGGGGTATTACCTTCTTATAAGTATGTAAACCGATATATGTCATGTAATTTATTGTGCCATGTAATCATATGGTTATTGTTATTGCAATATCGTGACAGAAGTTTGCTTTATGCAGAGCTCACGACTACACTTTATAGGAAATTGGCGAAATCGGTATCGAAAGCGTTTTTTCTGCCTTGTCTTCTGGGTTTAAGTAAAAAAATTCTAATATTAGTGCCTCTAATACTTCTCCTAATTCAGTTATTATCCATGTTGACATGGTAAGATTTAAATACAAGGATGTTCAGAAAAATTATTGCTGTCAAACTATTTTCTTTTCAAATTTTGGTTAGGTTTGGCCATTTACTCTATACCTATATGCTGCCCCAGGACTGTTTTTTTGTTTCAGTTGTTATCCGGAACCACCCTGAATTGTTGGATCAGCCTGTAGCTGTATGTCATTCAAATAATTCAAACGGAATGCTGAGATTTCTTCTGCTAACTACCCAGCTCGTAGTCATGGTTGGTAATGTGCCAAGTTATATATGATAGCATGGTCAGTAAGCTATGTTAACTTTTTGGTGTAAACTTCTCTTTTGATCATGTGCTAGGTATCAGGCAGGTATGTTTGTTCGAGATGCCAAGGCTCTTTGTCCCCAACTTGTTATCTTTCCTTACAACTTTGAAGCTTATGAGGAAGTAAGAATTAGTAGGGTGTCTGTAACTGGAAGCAGAGTGTCAGAATATTTTATGTGTCATAATTTCTTTGTATCTTTTTTCCTTTTACGAAATTTACAAATGTGTTTTTGACATTTTGCAGGTAGCTGATCAATTTTATAGTATATTGCATCAGCATTGCAACAAAGTGCAGGTCTTATGATTTGACATTGTTCAAGTGCATAAAGTTTTCTGTTGAGTCGTCCTTAATGCTTTAATGGCTACTTGATGCAGGCTGTAAGCTGTGATGAAGCATTTTTAGATGTCACAGATTCAGAGGTTGAAGATCCCAAACTTTTAGCTTCTTCTATTAGAGAAGAGATCTATAAGACCACCGGATGCACAGCTAGTGCTGGTATAGCTGGAAATATGCTTATGGCTCGTATTGCTACTAGAACTGCAAAACCAAATGGTCAATATCACATAACTACAGAAAAGGTATCCTTTGGGTTTTCTTTTATTCAGAATTTTGTCGTTTTCTTAATTTTCAATTTTTATTTGTGGGATAATGAAGGTATGATGCAAATCATATTACAATTTCCACACCCTCTTTCTTTATAATTAATGTTCTATTTTTTTTTGTGTGGTCATAGTAGTGTTTTTTTTTGAGTTTTATGCTGTAAACTTATGTTTATCTTTGGATATTTACAAATTCAAATATCAATGCCAATTGTTGCTCTTGTTATTTTATTTTGGATTTTGAAATTGTGGATTTTCTGTATTTTAAATAAATTTCAATGAGAACTTACAGAGTAGTGCCATGCTAGACGTGGATTATACTACTCTAGACCTTGAAGCTTTGGATTTTCCTCAAAGGTGCTAATTTTAGGTTTGACCTGTATTTTGGATGCATTGAAATTGACAATTTACACTTCACCAGAAAATGTGTACGGTGATTTATATTGCAATTTTCAACTTTTATTGTCTGGTTTTGACCATTTTAAAGATCAACTTATTAAAAAAAATGAGACACTGATTGATCATGTCAGGTGTGATTTTAGCTGCTGTAGTTCACTCCTACTTATATTTTGTGCAGCTTATGCATTTTGATATTATAGGTTACGAGTGGAATGTTTCAATGTGCTACCTTGTTCATTTAGTCAGTTTTGCCTTTCCAGGTTGAAGATCATTTATGCCAACTCCCAATTAATTCACTTCCAGGAATAGGGCATGTTTTGCAGGAGAAATTGAAGAAACAAAATATTTACACTTGTGGACAATTGCGAATTATTTCCAAGGTTTTACTATTCATTCGCTTTCTCAATTTATAGGTTCTTCTGATTTTCCTTCTATTGTATTATAAAAGTTGTTGTTCCTTGACTTTCTTCCAAAGGTCTTTCAATGTGTTCCTAGTGTTCCTCCTCTGCTTTTAGACATTTATATTTTCCCTTGAGTTGGGGAAGGAGAGGGTTTGACTCATGAATTTAGAATCCTTACTAAAAGAGAATAGAACCTTGGGAAAAAAATATTATTGACTTGTTTAAAGTTTGGCTTAAATTTGAGGAAATAATCTTAAAGAACTAGTCCGAATTTTATTCAAGTATTTAATCCTTAGCACAAATTTGTTATGTTTTTATTTGGTTCATTTACTTGGACACTCTGTTGTCGTCATGTTCCACCTTCTTTTTTGACCAGTACTTGAAAAACATTTGTAATAATTGTAGTATACCCTTATTTCTCTGAATTTGCAGGCCTCACTGCAGAGGGACTATGGTATAAAAACAGGAGAAATGCTGTGGAATTATAGCAGAGGAATTGATAACCGGTTAGTTGGGAACTTTCAGGTAGGGAATATTTATCTAAAATCCAGACTTTGTTTCTTCTCATTTTGATTTGACATGGTTTAGAATACTTTAGATATGTGTATATATGTACACTGTATGCGTGAGAGAGAGGCAAAGATAGAGTGATGTATATGATTCTGTCTACCACATTGTGCTTGTTGATTATTTTATTTTTCCTTTCCTTTTACACTGCCAATTTGTTATATAATGATATGTAACTTGTGTGAGTGTGCACATGTTGCTTTTTTCTCTTTTCTTCCATCTTAAATTGTTCCACTTTGTTGTATACTGGTATAATGTATGCATGTGTTACTTTACTTTTTCCTTCTTTCTCTATATGAATCCACACTTGAATGTTGTTTTCTTTTTCCTTCCATTTTACACTGCCATTTTTTTTCTGTAATAATATCTTTTTTTTTATTCCAGTCCTTGTCTAAGGATGGGCTAACTAAGTGTAATAGTGAACAATGGCTGAAGTTTATAAATTGTCAGTTTAATACACATAATAAAACCATAATCAGTTATTGTAAATTTCAAAATGATTGATTGTGCCAGTGCTATGCCCCAAAACATTATGTGAAATAATTGTTCCTATGGCTGGTGGTTTCACATTTTACTTTGAATTTTCTAACTCAAATGTGTTGTGGCACCTTTTCTTCCTGTGATTATTATTCGTTCCTGATAAACTTGTTTAAGATGACATCCACATTTCTGCAGGAAAGCAAGACGGTTGGTGCTGATGTAAATTGGGGAGTGAGATTCAAAGATATAAAAGATGTTAGTATTTTCTTACACTCTGTCATATATCTATATTTCTAAACCTTACTGTATCAAAAAATCATTCAAAATGCTGACATAAAAGTTATTCCAGTGTGAACACTTTCTAATAAGTCTTTGCAAGGAGGTCTCATTACGATTGCAGTGTTGTGAAGTGCAGGGGCGCACTTTCACTCTGAAGGTGCTGGTTTACTTTCAGTTTTAAAAGTTTTGTTTTTTAGATTATTCAGAAATCAGCTTTCTGTTTTAGCTGGCAAGCTTCTTTTCATGTCGTGTTAAATTTTTGAAATTCGTGTATTACTATCTATCATAATGTTTCTTATATCTTCTAAGTCTACAAAATTATTTGTAAATATTCTTGTAAATATGCTTTAGATCAAAAAGAGAAGGAAAGGCGCTGGTGAACCTGCAAAGTTTATGGGCTGTGGGGACTGTGAAAATCTGAGTCACTCTGTAACGGTAAATATTGAAAAATAACAAGTGTTAATCTGTATATTAAACTGTCATATTTTATTTATACAAGTGTTTTATTAATTGTTTTAAGGTCCAATTTTTGTGTTTGATTTTCTCATCATAGGTTCCTCTTGCTACTGATAACGTGGAAATACTCCAAAGAATTGTAAAGCAGCTGTTTGGATGTTTTAACATAGGTATCATAACTCAGACCTGCTTATTCTTTTAATGTATGCCAGGCTTGGCAAACCTTATTTCTTGCTCAATATATTTTTCTTCTCTTTTCAATGTTCTGTCATGAAACATTAAAAAATAAAAGTATTTTCTATTAGCTGATGCGAACATACATGTTTTCTGCCATTTTAATGAATGTAAAACTAAGTATGGAATCTATTGGTTTATATCTAGATGTGTGAATCATTTACTGCATTTGCTTTTGTTAATAATTGATATAGACTCTGTCCGGTTAAAAGGAGGGGAGACGAGAGAAAATAAATTAATTTTTATATATTCTCACAAAAGAGAAATAAAACCATTATAAGTATTCAATTCAAGGCTAATTTAGTCATGACAACTTAAAAAAATTTCAAGTACTAAGGCAAAAACGAGAAAGGGGGATTTGATCCGCTTGCCTCTTTGAAATCATTGAATCAAACTAGTTATTGAAGAAACACCAACTTCATTAGGGGATTGGGTGAGGTTAGAAATATGGATCATTTGATCTCGTCAGCCCATCTCCTTTTTGTCAAATGCTCTCTCCTGAAATATTCTTATTTGTTCTACTACTACCTAATAGAGTTAAAAAAAGAATAATACTATGTCAATAAAATATAGAATGAGATATTGTACCATAGATGTGGAGTTACAAGGTTAGACTTGAAAAGTACACTAAAAAATAATTGAGGATGGGTTTCTTAGTGTTTGGGTGCTTATCAATATTTTTATATTTTTGTTAATTCACAATAGCAGGTACAACAGATATATAGAGGTTGTCCTGGCTTTTCAGAAATTCCCTAGGTTCCATTTTTCTCAGTCGCATTCATCTCTTGATTTATGACTTGAATCCTGATATAAAAGCTGTGTATTAACAAGGGAATCCTAATACAATGAGCATCCTTCTCTTAATTTAAGTTTTTAGGAGAGCTTACATTATCAAGTTCCTAGGATTAATACTTTCCACTTACATTCTTAATTAAATTAAAATGCCATTTAAAGTTATAGTTGGCCAGTGCTTACCCATGATTCAAGTTCAAAGTGCTAGTTTTCCTAGAGGGTTGTGATACTTATGTAAAGTCATTATTTTAGGTGCATTGTTAATGATTGACCCGAGTAAGTATTGGTCATGGGTTTAAACTGAAAGTTCGTTAGACACTTAGGTGAATGGCCTTGGTCATGGGTTTAAACTGAAAGTTCGTTAGACACTTAGGTGAATGGCGTTGGGCCGCAGACAGTGTATCATATTCTAAAATAAATGCTTGCATGGTGAAGGTGGTTGGTGATTGTGTCTTTGGACCTCATTTTAATTATGATGGTATTTTCTTCCTGTTCATGTTATTTAGTGTTTCAGCCTTGATTTGTGTAAGGGAATCCACATATGTTCATGTTCGTCTTGTCTTTTTTGTTTTAATTTCATGTAGATGTCAAGGAGATTCGAGGTATTGGCTTGCAAGTTTCCAGACTTGAAAGTGCAGAAGCTTCTAAACGAGGTATCTGTATTATTTAAAGTAAATCTTAACTAGTTGTGTTGGAATAACATATTATTTGGTTGTGGACATAATTAAACTTATCTGGAATGCCTGTTGCTGAGATCTGCAACTTCTTCATCTATCAGTCCTTTTATTTAGTATTGTAGAATCTTTTCACTTTTTTTCTTCGTTTTGAGCTTTTCTTTTCTTATTTTATGTAATTTCTATATAATTGTATAGTGTTATTTATTTCATGAAGGTACAACAAAATATACTTTGAAATCATGGCTCACTTCTGCATCTGCTGGTGTTGGAAATCAGACATATCCTATAGGTAATGGCACCCCCTATGTGTTCACGCTTAAATTTCCTCATCTAGTGGGATAAGGCTTTTGTTGTTGTTGTATTCTATGGGTGATGGACAATTTAACACAGGGGATACTTGTTATTGTTTGGATATTTTTTTCTTACACATAAATTTTCATTTTTTTGTTCATTTTGACGTTTTATGAATGATGGAATTAATACAAAAACTTTTGTCGTTTCTCTTTCTTCAGGTAATGACAAGCACAGCAGGGATAACACTTCCAGTCCTGCGTTTGTAAATCTGCTAGAGTCTTCAGTGGAAATGGACAATAAAATACCAGCCAATGAGGCTAGTATTGACCCAATTTCAACACCTCCCCCCTTATGTAACCTTGACATTGAAGTTATAAGGAATCTTCCCCCGGATGTATTTTCAGAATTAAATGAAATTTACAGAGGGAAGTTAGTTGATTATATTGCTAACTGGAAAAACACAAGTGAGAGCTCTAGCCTTTCAGGAAACTCATTTTTTGAGCAAAAAGGTGAGCTTTTTCTGTTTCATTCGTGCAAGCTATATACTCTACTCAAACTTGCCACCCATGCTTTCAATTTGTTTTTGTTGGCAGCAATAAACAATGAAGAGGAACTTTCCTATTCTGAACCGCTTCCTCGAGGCAATTTATCATCAAAAAACAAGGTAAATAATTTTCCTTATTTTATTATGTCTTATCTCACCTTGGATGACATCTTAGAACTGGATTCATATTTTGTTTCAATTTTTTTTCTTATTTGATTTCGATAAAGATTCTTAACTGATAGCATAAATAGGGTTAGGGCTTTGAATCTTGTATCACATTGTAAATTGTAACACACAAGAGATATTATTTATTATTCATATTCTCTCATTTTCACTTCATGTACAGTTAAATCTGTATGCTTTCCACTTCATGTACAGTTAATCAAATTATATGGTTGAATTGACCAGTCTTCCTTGAATTGAAAGAAATATTTACACTTTTATTTGTATCTATTGCTCTGTTTTTCTGAAAGTGTTTTATTTGGTAACATATGTCATGTTTACTAATAGGCAAAGCAGTATGTGTCGAGCACTAGTGAAGGCGAAACTATACCATATTCAGTCCGTGGACCCAATTTCAAGTTTACACACCATTCTAGTTTTGAAAACAATGATTTATTTCCTTCTTCTTTGAGTCAAGTTGATGGTTCAGTGTTTCAACAATTGCCTGAGGATTTTAAAGCTGACATTGTTGAGCAGCTTCCTGCACACAGGAAGCCAGATATTTGCTCCAATGTTGTGATCCCTCCTCTTGAAAATCATTCGTTGTCAGTAGGCGTTGAAATTTCTGATAATTCTCCTATATGTATTTATAATAATGACAGTCTATGGGTTGGAAATCCTCCAAATTGGGTTGGGAAGTTCGAAGGTAGCAGTTGCTTAATTTTAAAGAAACTTGCAGAAATGTATTTAAGATCAGGATTGGCAAACACATTGTCTTCAGTTTTGCACCAAATTATATCTGAATTCTATGAACTAAATCTGGCCCAGCAGTTTTCTGATGAAACTGTTGACGTTATGTGTGAGCTACTGAGGCAGTATATCAAAGTGAAGATTGAAAGAGATATTGAAGAGATTTATATATGTTTCCGACTTCTGAAAAGGTATGTTTATGTTGGAAGTTAGCATGGCACCCTTGTGTTTATTATTGTTTTCGTACATAATCATGTGCTTTTATCCTTATTCTTCCCACATCTTTCTATTCAATTTTTTTGTTAGATTTAGTCCGTCAGTTTTAATGGAGATTTTGCTAAACTAAAATAGAGGCTGGAATGGATTAAAAAAGGCTAGTTAATTCTGTGTCTGTACCGTCAACCCATCTTTTGGTAAATTCCACTTATCCTGTGAAGTCAGGTGAGATTGGAGTTTCGGTAAATTCCTGAGAATTCTGTTATATTTTGAATTTGATTAACGACAATTACATTCTTATTGAGCTAGGAGAAAATATTTTATTACTAGACGATACTGTAATCGTTATGAGTATGGTACTGCAATGTATTAGAGATCTTTGTTATCATTATTCTAGGAGGGGTAGAGTTCACTGTATGCTCATGTACTGTTTTTAAATTCAATCAATTCAACAAAGATCTTTTTCCTCTCATATATCTAACCCTTTTCAAGTATAACTATTAAAAAAATGCGAAAGCTGTGGTAATATTTCAAAGTCATTTTACTTACTAGATTTTATAGATTATTTTTGTGACAGTCTGTGGAGTAAAACATGATTTGTTTTCAGGTTTGCGGCCAAGTCCCAATTTTTCCTACAAGTATATGATAGTGTATATCCTTACCTTCAGGTATTCCTTCAGCCTACTTTCTCTTTTATCATCATCTGTTGTTTATCAATCAAACAACATTTTTAAAATGGGGGTAAATGCAGGCATGGCACAGGGTTGTATGTGGACTAGTTCGTACTTAACAAAACATAACTTGTGGGACCTAGTATTTGTTAGTCCTAGTTAAAATCTTTTAAATACTGAAATTGCAATTTCCAAGTGTGTTTCCTTATAAAATAATGAAATTTATTTGGCTGGTCAACTGAACATAAAACATTACAAAGAGAATGATAAACTCCTAAGTAACACTACAAAGAAAGAAATGAATCAAGAGAAATCAATTGAATGAACCTAATTCCACAAAATATTTGTTAGGAATAGGTCATGTGCTTTACACCAAATGAAGGCCAAATGTCTAATCTTATTCCAAATTACGTTATGTGCCAAAGAGTTGTGCGTAGAAAGAGAGTTTTATAAATGGGTTGAAACACATGGTTTATTATGCCATTTTATATTAATAAGGAGTTTTTGTAGTTAAAACACGGTTTTCAGCATATCCTTCTTTTTTTTATTCTATTAATACAGTATTCTGGTTCAAATTTTGTAGGCTGCTGTTGATGACAATTATGGAGGGACTTTACTTTTACCATCATAGTAGCAACTTATTTACCTTGCTACGGTAAACTTGAGAAAAAATGGTATATCTGTATAAGCCTATGAGGTCAGATCCAATTCAAAAGCTGTTATTCACGGCTGATGTGCTGCAGAGTATGTCCGACTTTAATGTGATACCTAAACATTTTCTTCCGCGTATGTGCTTATTTTAATGAATCTTGCATTTCTAGTCAGTTAATTGATAAATTTGAAATTTTATGTTCCATTGCCTGCCTTTTACTATTTGTTCAACATGTATGAATTGTTGTTTTGTCATTCATTAATTTTATTGGACCTTTTTGTGATGTTGAACTTCAAATATCGAACTTTTCATTAATATTAGTAATAAGACATTTATTATATGTCTGTGACTGTGCAATATGGCTTGTAATTCTCCTTTGCTGTTTATTTAGTATTTTAATCCCTTGTCTTGTCTTATATAGTATCTCCGGTCTTGGTTATTGATCATAATATAGATGCAATGTATATTTCATTAATTACTTAGTTAAATAAAAACTGATGGCATTACCACATTTGTTTGTTATTCTGTTTCTAGAGATATTTATAAGTTTATGCCTGTGTTTAACACTGCTGAATGAGGTCATCATGTGATCCATGTAGACCATTGCATGTAGGGAGTTATTCGAATTGCACAACAGTACAATAATTTTCCATACCATTTTTTGTATTTATAAGCAACATGTATTTCCATTTGCAGTATGTTAACTTTTCTCTTTAATCATTTCTTTTTGTGAAATGAATGGTTGCTTCTGAAAAAACTAGTGTGTTCTCTTCCCAGAGAGTTCTCGCATATGGTCTTAAAATTTAAGTTTGAACTTAACCCCCAATCTAATTATGGGTGAGGGTTGTTTGTTTCATAGTTATGTACATTATTACCTGGGTACCATCTCTAATCAATGTGGGATCCCAAATTATTGGTTTGGTGCACGGATAATATAAGATGGGTTACCCAATAACAGATTTAGTATATGACCTGACATGATAGAATTTAAATTTTAAGTTTTAACTCAAACCCAAAAAGCTAGCCCATAGGATGATGGTTTCCCCTTATATACATTATCATGGCACTATCTCTGGTCAATATAGGACTTGGATTTTTCCAAAAACACTCACAAAGTTAGAGCTGTACATTACAACTACTTAGATTTTACTTGATTTGAATGTCCATTTATCCTAAGTTGTTGGTTTTACTGGTTTTAATGACCAGACATTTTACTTTCTTTTTTAGTTTATCCTTATTTGCTAGCTGATGCTCCTGATATTGTATCATTAGATTTATTCTAGCATCATGAAAATCATAATTCTTTGTAATGCAGTCTCCTTTCCTCCACTTCCCAACTCTTACAATAGCAGAATTGAGGTTTTTCTTGTGACTGGACAACACTTTCAAAACTGTTGAATCAGAAATTATTGTTGCAGTGGCAGCTGGGAAGGGTAGATTTAGTCATTTTGGAGAACCGTCTTATAAAATCAATACAGAAGCTGCTGGTATAATTTGCTACTAGAAAAAAGAGGTAATTTTTTACAACAATCTGTGTACGTAATTTGGTTTGGTGTGGTATATGGATTTGTTAATCTTTAGTCTGCCTAATAAACATGTGTAGGAGGCAGAGATAATTCATGTAGCTGGGTTTTTTCTGGTACAGTATTCTATGGATGCACTCATGTTTTACAATTATGTTTGAAGTTGTGCAGTTATCCCTCTCCCATATAACTTGGGATTTATGACCTGCTGTCACTGAACATGAAATTGAAAATATTAGTGAGTCTTGGTTCACTTAGGTTATGTGAATTTTGATAGATGTGTAAATGCACTCATGTTTTACAATTATGTTTGAAGTTGTGCAGTTATCCCTCTCCCATATAACTTGGGATTTATGACCTGCTGTCACTGAACATGAAATTGAAAATATTAGTGAGTCTTGGTTCACTTAGGTTATGTGAATTTTGATAGATGTGTAAATGCTGAAGGATCAGACTGTTGTACAGGTGTCCAGTACAGAAATATCATTTTTATATATTAATCATCAATAGTTTTTAACAGATTTGGGTTATCTTCGGATATGGACAGGGTGTCACGCTGAAATTGAAGACTGTATCTCAGTCTCCTTAAAAAGGCACTTTCTGCAAGTAAAGGCATATGGGTGATTGGGTACCATACTTTTTGCTGTTACACGTAACTTGAAGGCAACCACTGGGTAAAAACACCAAATCCCAGACTCCTCTCGGAAGAGTAGTTTTCTTGCCACCGATCTTTCGGATTGGACTGAGATGGAAGGAAGAGTCTCGAGGGTGAAAAGGAAAAGGTAAAGAGAGAAAATAGTATGTAATAGATGTGACGTGACGTGATGTAATGGTAAGAGAGGAAGATAGGGCTATGATCTGTGAACAGTTATTATTTTTTTATATGATCTGTGAACAGTCTTATTATTTTTTTATATGATCTGTAACCACTTATGACTGTTTATATTAAACTTTTATGGAATAATTTATTTAATTTTTTTAAATAGTTTATTTTATTATTAAAAAAGGGTGGCAAACTATATTTTTCTTTCTATAATATTCTATTGAATAGTGGTGTTTATCAGGTTGGAAGCAGCGTGAAGCGGAGAAGTTTGATCCAACCCAATTCATTCTTCTAAGAGCGGCTGTTTAACTGTTGGTAGTAAAATATACGAATTTGCTTATTAGTTTTTTGCTTGAAAGAATTGTTTATGTGAAGCTGATTGAGAGATTGTTGACTTTTGAAACACGCATGCGTCTCTCTTATGGTTTAACTAACTCATATAAGACTTTTTAACTGAAAAGTCACTATGTTATTCACAACATTGAGAAAACGTTTAATTACTAACCAACCACTTTCTAATATAAAATTTACTAGTATATCATCAAATATTCCTAATGTTTCCATGATTTATTCAAAATCTACAGATTTTGTTAATTTTTAAAACTATTTATCTAAAACAAGAAAAAAAATCTAATCAGAACTGTTTCATCTTAAATGGGTGTTCAGTTTCTTATTTTGGTCACAACTTTTTTCTGTTTCTTGATTTTATGAAGCTTCAAATCACTATTTCAAATTCTTATAAAATATGTAAATTTTCATTTTTTGTACTTTAAATATTTTTTATTTTCATCCTTCTAAAACATTAAATGACTATTAATTATTAATACTCATCTTATTACTGCTTTTGGAGATGTTGAGTATTATATGTCGATTTTATTTATTAAATACTATTAATTATTAATACTTGTTAAATTACTGCTTTTATTTTCACAACTTTTGTTTTCTTTTTGAAGTATTATATGTCGGTTTTATATCACGATACTTTTATGTATTACTTGAAATGATGATTTGACTTTTATTTTAATGCACAATTTATTAAATACCATCATACAATATTAGAAATTAAAATATAGTATTTTTTTAATTTTATAAAAAAGGGAAAAACAGAATCAAAATTTAATCATTTAAATTATAAACGTATTTAATAAAGTTTTGTTGAATGTAACTTAATTAAAAAGTAGAGTAGTATTCTAATATAAACCGGCATAAGCTTTTCAAAAAAAAAAAATAATAATGAATTTACGTCGCCTGACTTTTTAATATGATTGATGCCTACTTTTTCTGACATACTGTTATAGGTAAAAGTGAGATACGCTAGTTAAGCTGGTTTGTGTTTGACTTTAACAGTAGTTGGAATTATTAAAATAAAAAGGTGAAGAATAATAGAACGATTTTCTTAACCGAAACCCGATTAAGGTACGTATGTAGTATAGTATACATATGAATACAAGAAAAAGAAGTTATTATAATTTGGTTAGAGATAGTTGTTTGGTTGGTAGGTTTTTGTAAGATTTGGTGGAAACGTGAAAAGCTAAAATGATGCAAAATCTTGAAGGTAAACAATTTGTGCATACTTCCCCATTATTATTCCGATGTCATTCTCATATCCAATCATCATAATTTACTTCTCTAATGGGAAAAAGATGTCGAGTCCAAAAAAGACACGTCCATGTTTCCCAACCTATATAATATAATATTTACTTATTTTAATATTTTAAATATGAAAAACATTCCTTCTGAAAGAATACATTATTGTAATATAATAGTAAATACCTTTTTCATTTGAAAGAACTGAGGTTAATAAAATATGAATATTATAATTTAAACTTAACTTTGAAGCAGCTGGAAAATGTGTGATTATAAAAATAAGTTGATGTATTTTGAAGAAAAGAAATAAGATAAATAAGTGGGTAGGTTGTAGTGTAGAAGCCATAAACCCTTCGACAAGTCTCATTCTATATTACATCTTTACTGCTGAAAACTCCTATTTTCTTTTAGCCATTCAAACTTCAAAATTCAAAGCTGAGAAGGAAAGTCAAACAACAAAGGTGTATATATATATATATATATATATATATATATATATATATATATATATATATATATTGACAGATGTAGATGCAGAGCATGATTCATTGAGAATTGGAAGAAAATGAAGAGTGTTTATTATTATTATTGTGTAATAATGTTTTTGATGTTGGCCTCCTTCTCCATGAACGTTGAGGGAGTGAGACCGCTGAAAGATGATCCGTCTTCTTCTTCATCCTTCTTCCTCTCTGTAATAATGGACAGAGCATACTCTGGCCCAAGCCACAGAGGACGCGGTCACTGAACAACACTTCCATTTCTTCGATGCTTAATTCCTCTGTTTTTCTGTATGTAATCTCATCAACATCTTTATTCAAATTATACGTGTAATTATAAACTTATCTTGTAAGCTTAAATTACATTTCATCCTTCATTCCTTACTATTTTTTTGTATCATTATTTCCTCAACTTCTCACATGTTTCATGTAAGTATTCTTCATATATACTTTATTTATACAATAATTATTTATTTTTTTTAATTTATCACAAATTCACATAAAAATAAAGTTTATTTTCAAGCGATTCAAAGAAAATTTCGTAAAAGATAGTCAAATTTTTAAAATGATTTTGTGGACACGAATTTTTTTTAATTATTATAAAAACATTAATGAATGAATTAGATTAAATTTTATCCATAGTAGATCACTAAAGAGTTTAACTTTAAATGAAATTTTAATAAGTTTAAATAGATTGATGATTTTTTGTTAACAAAAAGCTATATTGTTCAGTCATTCACTTTGGGGACTTTATTCTTTTTGAAGAAAATTTTATCATTTCTGTTTTATTTTTTCTTTTTATTATTACGATTCAAACTCTTCTTTAAATAAACGTTACGGGAAAAAAAAGAAAAAAAAAACTCAATAATATAGATGGAAGTATTTTTGTTCTGTATTTTATATGATAGGATAAATGGTATATTAATATAGAACTATCATTCTTTATTAATTACAATCAAAATCTTACTTTTGTTTATTTATTATTAATATTTAAAGTATTTAAGGGTTAACTTTAATTGAATATAATATAATTTAATTTCTACAACCACCATAACATGTTATCATTTTTTGTTCAAATCGAGATAATTCCCCCATCAAATGCTTTATAGCTTATTTTAAGTAGATGGTAATACTTTTTTCAATTTTTTCAAAAGTAATTAAAAATAGTTATTCATTTTGAAAAAGAAGAAGAAGAAGAAGCTAAACTAGTGTGAAATACTTTAGATAAGGCTTCTTCATTAACGAACCGATTTAAAGAAAAATAAGAACAAAAATTGATTAAATAGATGTTTGGACTTGTTGATTAAATCAACTGTATTGATTGAATGGTTTTGAGAAATAAATAATAATAATAAGATTAATAATTTGAATAAAATATGAATGGCATTTGAACATATAAATAAATAAATACAAAAATCGTTTATGGACTATTTTCTATGATAGCCTTCCACAATAAAAACATTTTGTGGGAAAAGAAAAATACATTGTGCTTACACGCACAACTTAAACCATTCTCCATTATTAAAAAGCTAAAAACGTCATTTAAAAAAAATAGCGTGCTTGCATTCACAATTTAAAAAATATATATTAAAAAATAAAAATCGTGTTTTTAAACATAATTTCTATTGGGAAAGAAAAAATGTGTTTTAACGTAGGGTTTCACTATACAAAATTTTAATTGAACAGAAATCGTGTTAAAATTGTTCATTTCAAAAACGACTTGTTCAGCTTATTTTTCAAAAAAAAAACCATTTACAGAATAACTAAGTAGTATTACACCTATTTGATAAAAAAAACTATAAACATTCCAATCCCTTTAAATATACATGATACAGTAAAATCAAAATATTAATTAAGCCAAATTAATTTTATGATATTAAATTAAATTTGTCTCGCTGCATGAGTTATTCGTTAGATAAATGTTTTTTTATACTAGATAAACTACTTATAACTTACTTTTAAGAGTATTTTATTCATTAAAAAATATAATGTTTATATTTGTAAAAAAAGAAAAAAAATTAAAAAATAAAATAATAGACATAAAATACGGGTAAAAATTTGTTGGACGAAGAAATAATACTGACCTATCCCTTAATTAACACATAGGATACAATAGAAGTCTAAATTAAGTGAGGAAAGACAAAAGGTATTAAAGATATATTCAATTAGTATTATTTTTTCTTTTTTTTTATTTTCTTCTTTATTAAAAAATATAAAAATTTATATTTTTATGATTATTTTATAATTATTCTAGTGTTAAATAAATATAAAAATATGTATGTAGAGCACTCTCCTGCAAATCACATCATAGTACTTAGCGAAAAGCTTGTGAATACTAAAATTGCCGAATTGCCGAAACAACCTGGGCAATGCCTTCAAATTTTGCTCTATCTTTGAGAAGCATCTTAGCCAAGTTAAGAGCCTTCCGTTCACAGGAAGCCCGTTTAGCAGCATCAGTAATGGATTCAAAATCCTCAACATGCGCCACCCCTACGATTCTCCTGTCAATCATACATACATACATACATTAATTTTAACTAATTCATTTTCTTTTCCCATTCTTTTGTTAAATTATATCACCTTATCATTTTGGCAGCACCAAATCCAAGACTGTCATGAAACAATTCTGCCATGTATCTCTTCTGCGCAAGGAGTTGAACCTCAGGATTGTTATAAACTGCTGGAAGATATGCCTCGCCAGCACCATTTCTGTGTTCATCCCAAAGTGCAACGAAATTTTTGTAGAAGAGATTCCAAGTGTCTTCAATTGTCTCAAGAATCCACTCCTTGTATGCCTGCAAAACATAATTTTGTCCAATCAATAGAAAGTTTCTGTTTTTGACAGCTTAACTAAGAATCAGATAAAATGTCAATACTAGAATTTTACGTACTTTTCTATGATCGGGTTGATCAANCCTGCAAATCACATCATAGTACTTAGCGAAAAGCTTGTGAATACTAAAATTGCCGAATTGCCGAAACAACCTGGGCAATGCCTTCAAATTTTGCTCTATCTTTGAGAAGCATCTTAGCCAAGTTAAGAGCCTTCCGTTCACAGGAAGCCCGTTTAGCAGCATCAGTAATGGATTCAAAATCCTCAACATGCGCCACCCCTACGATTCTCCTGTCAAACATACATACATACATACATTAATTTTAACTAATTCATTTTCTTTTCCCATTCTTTTGTTAAATTATATCACCTTATCATTTTGGCAGCACCAAATCCAAGACTGTCATGAAACAATTCTGCCATGTATCTCTTCTGCGCAAGGAGTTGAACCTCAGGATTGTTATAAACTGCTGGAAGATATGCCTCGCCAGCACCATTTCTGTGTTCATCCCAAAGTGCAACGAAATTTTTGTAGAAGAGATTCCAAGTGTCTTCAATTGTCTCAAGAATCCACTCCTTGTATGCCTGCAAAACATAATTTTGTCCAATCATTAGAAATTTTCTGTTTTTGACAGCTTAACTAAGAATCAGATAAAATGTCAATACTAGAATTTTACGTACTTTTCTATGATCGGGTTGATCAACAAGTCCATCCTGCGCAAAGAAAGCCAACATCAAGTTTCCCAAGAAAGCACCGATGTCATAACCCATTGGTCCATAAAATGCAAATTCTGGATCAATGACTTGAGTTGATTCGGGAGTAACCATGACAGAACTAGTGTGCAGATCCCCATGAATGAGTGCCTGGGCCTGCTCTGAGAACCTGGAGGAACAAAAACTATTAGGAAGTTGATGTGCGTGAGCAGACATAGCAGAGTAGAGTGTGGGAGTGGCATATACTTAGATTTTAGGATAGCAATTTCAAGCTTGAGGAGATTGTCGTGACGAAGAGCTTCGGCATCAGGATCAAGATAGGGAGAAGTCCAGTGGTTGTATTGGGAAATTTGATAAGGGTCGGAGAAAACAACCTGCTCAGTGTGCCTGCATAAGGCGGCATTCCCACAGAATTTTGCAACTAGAAACAAGAATCAGCCAAAAGGTTAGGACTTTAATCAAAGCAGAGGCAAAGGATCAATTGGGATTGTTAAAGTATTGACCTTGGCGTTTGTGATCGAGTGTGGAGTGAAAAAGGAGAGAAGTGAAGAAGAGAGTGTTTGCCATGAAGTGTGCGATGTGGCGTGCGAGGAGCGGATACTGAATTCCGGCGATGAGGGCTTTCCTGAGTATGATGTGGGGAGGGGGAAGGTAGCGCATGGCGATCAAGGACATGGTTGGGTCAAAGTGATAGACTTGTGGGACATGGTGAGGGGCTATGCGACCCTGTTCTTCCAGGGCCATGGCCTCAAAGTATGCTCTGTCCTTCGTCAGTGGCCATGATTCCCCGATGCAACGAATGTAAGGGAGAGACTGCTTCATGATAACGGAATGGACAGAGTTGGTCACCAGGAACACAAAGTTCAGGTTACCATCTCCGATCTCTTTCACGGTTAGCTTCTCGGCGGTGTCACCCTCATCGTCCAGCTTCAGGATGGAGGATAGGGCGGCGACGCTCTTCACGTACTCTATCACTGACCTCTCATCGAGTCTTGTAAACTCCAAAAACGCCATTCAATGGTGACTTTGTTTGGTTGTGGTTCTAATCTGAGGAATGAATATGTGTGTATATGGCAACCTGGTTCATTGAACCTGCCACTGCATCCTCACAGATGACTGTGACTGGCATCTACACCTTTCTTCTTCCCACTACTTTTCAACTAAGGAATAATTTCTGCTTAAATTCACAACTTCTTTCTTCTTCCCGTTACTTTTCAATCAAGATAACGATAATTTTCACAGCATTTCTTTTATAACATTTTAATATATCGGTATTTATAATTATTATTATTGGTTATAAAATAATTTT